AAAGTCAACTGCCCTGCAAACATTTTCCGACTTATTAGCAATTATTTGAGCGACCGTACGGTGTCGCTTTGTTATGCTGGATCCAGTTCTATCAGGCGTATGAGTAGGGGCTGTGTCCAAGGGTCGGCCTGCGGGCCGGCTCTTTGGAACCTTATCCTGGATGAACTTCTGGACCTGTCGCTTCCTGACGGATGTCGAATTCAAGCGTACGCCGATGACGTGCTGCTTTTAGTCAATGCCAAAGACCACACCGCTTTACAAGAAAAAGCTTGCCGAGCATTGGACGTCGTGGCGGATTGGGGGCAGAGCGTCAAATTGTCCTTCGGACCAGAAAAGACGCAAGCTTTAGCATTCTCCCCTAAAGCTGCTCGTGCGCGCGTTCGTATGCAAGGCCAGCACATAAACTTTGTCTCCCACTTCAGGCTTCTAGGAGTCATTATTGACAATAGGCTCCGATTCCACAAACATGTGCAGCATGTCGTACAGAACGTAACAAAGCTGTTTCAACGCCTATGTTTGTTTGCTCGTCCTTCGTGGGGTCTTCACCCCAGTAACATAGACAGTATCTACCGCTTCGCCATCGTTCCCGCCGTTACGTACGCGGCGAGTATATGGGCTCATGCGCTTCGAAGACAGGCCCACCGGACTAGTTTGCTCAAATTGCAACGAGGCTTTGCCCTACGTGCAATTAGAGCCTATCGCACAACATCAACAAACGCATCTACTGCCCTTGCCATGTTCACTCCTCTTGACCTCGAAGTTCTGCGTGTTGCGGAGGTGGAGAGGACTCGCCTGAGTGGAACCTCTGATCTTCTAGACGACGGCCTGCGGCTGGAGACTCCGATCTCCATTTCACAGTTACCCCATCCAGCATTGCGTGTATCCCCGGATTATGATGTGGCGACGAAACAAGAGGATTTAGATCGGAAGTATTCAGCGGGTGTGCCTTTGGTCTTTACGGACGGTAGTAAGCAAGAGAGCGGCGAAGTTGGTGCCGGTGTCATCTGCGTTGACATGGTCACATACTCTCAACCCACCATCAACTCTGCGGGCTATAAGCTCGGCTCGGCCTGCTCTGTTTTCCAGGCTGAGATGTTCGCCATCATCAAGGCATGCCAGCTCATCGCGGAACGCGGGTATCCAGATGCGACTATCTGCTCCGACTCGCTTTCTGCTCTTCAGGCCCTTCAACAGCGTAGCAGCACTGATCCCCTCGTGGCTCGAATCCACAAGATCATCATTGAGCACAGGTCGGTTGGCCAGATCCAATTTTGTTGGGTGAAAGGCCACGCGGGGATTCACGGTAATGAGGCTGCGGATCGAATTGCGGGCGAGTCGGCGCTCTCCGAACGGGAGCCCGACTACGATTTGTTCCCAATATCACATATCAAGCAGATTTGCCGCACACAAGCGAGAAAAAAATGGGAGGAGAGGTACCGCGACGCTCCGCAGGGGAGTCACACCAGGTCCCTCTTTCCCAGTCTTCAACATATTGAGGAATTCCGGCAACACACTGAACCTTCCTTCCAGCTCACGCAGTTTACCACTGGCCACGGGGCACATCGCGCTTACCTTTATAGATTCCATATCGTGCAAACCGACGTTTGTCCTTGTGATTCAGCCACGCCTCAGACGCCTGAACACCTTCTCGTGCATTGTTCTAGATTTGCTGCTCGGCGTCAGTCACATCTGAGTTGCTGCAGGGATAAAGTCGATAATGCATTCAGTCTGCGTGAGCTGAGTCAGTCTCGGACGCTAATAAAGTCACTCGTTGAGTTTATAGAGCATATATACAACAATATTAAAGAATTTAACGCACACGGTGCAGAATAACACGTGGTTACCAATTTGAGCATTCACATAAAGGGTCCCGTGACGGGCCCGCCCGCCCAGTGGGCAGCGTGGCTGCGTGCTGGGCGGGCGGGTCTTTCACAACCCCCCCTGCTAACACTTATTATTTACATTTTTTTATTATTATTATTATTTATTTTTTTTTTGCTTCTTTTTTTTTATTGTTGCACTCATATACTTCTACAATCAAATATACCTTTTTTTTTTCATATATACATTCAAACAACCCTTTTTTACAATTTTCTCTTCACCGCTGTCCCCTTTTCCTTTCCTTTCTGTGTTACTTCTGTCTTCCTTCTGTCTTTCAGTAAACTGTCCTCTACCTCTGTCTCTTTCCCTCCCATTCCTTTGGCTGAGTCAGACTGCATCTCGAGGCGTCGTCAGCTGAAGTGGATGGGATGCACGATCAGGTTCCTATAAACCATATTAATATAAACGCTCACACTATATCATCTTACTATCAAATTTCGGAGAAAAAAAAAAAAAAAAAAAAAACCTAACCTAACCTAACCTAACCTAACCTAACCTAACCTAACCTAACCCAGTTACGTCTCGCCCCCCGAGGTGAACAGTTCGGAAATCGTAACGCTCCGCGCTTAAAAAAAAAAAAAAAAAAAAAAAAAAAAAAAAAAAAAGTGGGAAATCCAGGAGTTATAGTGACGTATCATATATCAAAAGATAGGTCTCGGCGAGACCTATCCAACGACATATCGGACGTGAAAATCGGAGTGCAGTGAGAAAAGTTATTACGGAAAAACCAAAAACCGACCACGTGTTTGTCGAAAAAAAAAAAAAACAAGTGTTTTTAATAAATAACTTTGTGTTTACTCGACGGATTTTCGTGAGCGAAGCGTCGCCAGACGCGCGCTCGCGAGACGCATCTGCGGACACCTTGGGCTCCCCTCAACTCCCCGTGGCTTGAGAGGTATTTGGAAATAACCAAATAACCTCTCGCCACGAGGTACCAGATCCGGGGGACCTGGGGGACCGGCGACAGTGCAGAAAGACGGAGGACACCGAGACGAAACAGGAGAACCAATTCTCTAAAAAAGAGAATCAGGTTTGGCGAACCTACGCGATTTTTAAGTTTTTCGAATTCAAAATTCATAGTGTCTGGGGATTGTGGGGAACAGCTCATTTTTATCAGCTGCCCGGTTAGACAATCCCCAGATCTATCTACAAAAAAATTGGCGTCGACGGGGCTGGTCTGCAAGAGGAGGAATCGGCCCGCAAAAAGTGGGCCCACTTTTCACCGAGCTCTGGAGGCCCAGTTTCTTGACGCAGAGACGTGATTTTTGGACATTATATAGATAGACATTAGTATTAGACGTAGGTTGAATTTCAGATTTTTATTGTATATAGTTATTAAGATATTGATTTTTTCGTCCCTTTTTGTAAACGTATAAAAAACTGGTGATAGATAGGGGTAAACCAACATTGGGATTGTTTATAGGATAGCCCTGACACCCCTAAACACCCCAAAGAACGCCCGTCTAGCTGCTGTATCTAGAAACTAAGAAAAAGTCGGCCATATTGGCCCGAGTAGGCCGAGTTTTGAATCACGAATAACTCTGTGGTTTCTTATTCGATTTAAAAACGGTTTTAAATATACATGTAAGCGTGCCCCCCTCTTGCTATTTCAGAAATCAAAATTCAAAATTTCCAAAATTTGAAAATTTTCAAAAATTTCGGACCCAAAAATTTTAGAATCCAAATTTGGAACGGGATCCTGGTAGATCTTCGCCCCCCCATCCCGGCATCGAAATCCCCGCGTTTCTGCGACGCGAATTGACCGAGATATAATTTTCCAAAAATTGGTCGGCCATCTTGGTTCGGCCATTTTGGAAAATTTGGAAGACCTGTATCTCGGTCAATATCGGGCCTAGGAGACCGGGACTTCGAATCAAGTCCCTCCCCCATTCCCGTCTACAAATCCTATAGGGTGGGATTCCAATTGGACGGGTTGAATTCAACCCTCCAATTTTGAGATTGCTTTGGCAAGAACTCACCCTCCCATCACCTCCACTCCAAGCCCCGACTTCGTGCGGCCAATAGGACCGGAGATATAGCCCTCCAAAGTCGGTGGGATAAGCTTATCCCAAAACTTTGAGGGGCTGTAGCGGCCGTACCACTGGTCGCAGAGGAACGGGGTTTCCTGTACCTACTACCCCCTGCCAAGCCCTACCAGACCCATAGGGTGAACTACCCCTATCTCAAGGTCGTGGGACAATTACAACCGACCCCGGATTTAGGTGCGGCAGAACCCTCCCTATCCATCCCCAAAAAATCCCAGTTCCACGCGATCGATAGTTTCGGAGTTATCGGCACTCGTCCCTTTCGGGCCGAGTTTTTTGGCGATTTTGGCCAAGGGATATCTCCGAAACTACCCATCGTACAAAGGCAAGAGAGGTATCGGGTGATAGGTCACAAAGAAGGCTACATAGAGACGTAACATTAGACCCGGAAAACCCGGAATATTCGGAGAAAAATCCGGAAAATCTTTAAAATTCTGAAACTTTGACAAAACTAACGGGAAAAATCCGGGAAAAACATATAATTATTAGGACCGATGCAATAAAGCAAATATACAGAAACGAAACATAAAACATCATTTTTAAGGGAAAAATTTTGACAAAAAGTTATATTGACTAAAATCTTTGAAAATAAGTAAATTTAGGACAATCTAAAAAATTTTTTCTCATTCTAAACGGTAGTTTATAACTACGTATAACAGTGTACCCATAAAGTTTATTACTGGGACACTACTTGACCGACTTGTATATATAAACTGTGTAAATTAGGTTAAATGACAGTGCACCCCTATTGGGTCACGTCTTAGAATAGGTTAAATACAGATAATAGACGCATAGAGCTAGGCTCTGCTGTAATACAACATAGACACAAGCACACACGCACGTACACATAGCCACAAACACACACACACACACAAACTAAACACTACTCACCTACACGCCGAGAGAAGGACCCGACAGTGGATCTGTCACAGGACGACGGCACCTGAAACAAAAAAACAAACAATTACTAAACACATAAAACACAATATACACGCAAAACAAACACACAAAAATTGTCCCCACATCGACAGATAAATTATAGCTTAAATAAAAAGGAGTAAGGAACAAGAAACAATGGCAGCAGAAGACCCAAGAAGATCGAGTACAAGCCCTCCGAAAAAACCAAGACATCCAGATGACAGGGATTACGAGGAGAGAACTACAGAGGAAAGCATAAACAAAATGAATGAATTGATGAGATTACTAAAAAAGCAGATATATGGAGCAATGAAAAGAGAGGTAAAGGAAAATATAGATTATGTAATCAAAAATGCTTACGATATACTACAAGAACTGTATAACGGAATTATAAGGGATAGAAAAGAGATGAAGGAAATGAGGGAGAAAGTGAGGCTGGGAGAACGGATAGAGGAGATGGGGGAAAAGATGAGAGAGGACATGGATAGAATTGCAAGAAAAATGGAACAACAACAGGAAGAACTAATTAAACAAAGGGAAGAAAAAGAAAGGAATCAAGAAGAAGAGGAATCTATACAAACAAAATATCTAAGAATGATAGATCATAAACTGGAGAACATCAAAAGCAGAGAAGAGGCCCTATTCGATAGATTTTCTGATAGGACGCTGAAGGACAACGAGATGACAACGGCAATCATCACCAGAAAGCTGGACACGTTGGAAGAGAACCTCACAGCAGAAACTATTGAACTAGGACGCAATTTAATAGATAGGCTTGGAAGGAGAGAGGATAAGGAAGAAAGTAGTACAGGAAGAATGACGGAGGCTAACATAGTACAGCAAATAAGAGAAACCGGAAAGGAGATAACCCTTGATATAACAAAAACTATCGATACCGTACTTACCGAGTGTATGCAAGATCTACATAACACAATAACGTATGGAGGAACGGCACCCGAAGGGAACACGGAAGTATTGAGTAGAATGGGGTGTCTCGAAACAAACATAAAGGAGGAAATAGAAAATACAAAGGAAACAATAACAGGAAATATAAGGGAAGTCACAGGCAAGATAATAAAAACAATGGAAGGAATAACACCACAGGAAAATACAACACCAGCGGAAGTGCATGGATTTAACACCTACGCGGAAACGACGAAAGGCAAACACCATCGTAAGCCAAAAACGATGCACTCTCTCCTTATCGCATCAAAGAATAAAAACGATATGGCGCAAGATATAATCGATAAAGCGAAGGAGATTTTAAAACCGGACAAAAATGGAATACAAATTGAAAGAATTAGGAAGGTAAAGGATCAAAGAATCATCGTAAGTTGCATAGAAGAACAAGAGACGGAAAGAATTAAGGAAAGGATAGAAGTAAGTGAGGAATTGGAGGCCGAGAGAGTGAAGAACAAGGACCCACTAATTATTATAAAGGAGGTCAAATATAAGCTGACAGATGAGGAAATAAAAAAGGCCATAAGGAACCAAAATCCGGATATCTATGCAACAGAACAGGAAGATGACAATTTTAGAATAAAATATAGACGCAAAACACGAAATACAGAGAAATGCCATATAATAGCTCAACTAAAACCAGAGTATTGGAAAAGGATTACAGAGAAGGGGCACCTGTACATTGAAATGGAGAGAGTGAGGGTCGAAGATCAGACCCCTCTCATACAGTGTACGAGGTGCCTCAACTTTGGCCATGGAAGGAAATTTTGTCAGGAGAGTGCGGACAAGTGCAGCCACTGCGGAGGGTTACACCTGCGGGCAGAATGCCCAGACAGGAAAGCAGGAGTCCCGCCGCAGTGCTGCAATTGTACGCACGCGGAAATACCGGAAACTGACCATAATGCGTTCAGTACCATCTGCAAGACCAGGGAGAAATGGGACAGCCTCGCCCGCTCCACAACAGCCTATGTATGAGGACAACACAAAACAAGACATACACAAAAAGAACACATACAAAAACACAATAAAAACATTAAACAAAAAACATGGAACACCAATACACAATCATGGTTTAAATGGAATGATGACATTCCAATTAAATCATCGAACAGCAAACAAAAATAAAAACCATAGAAGGAAACATCATGGAGATGGAAAACTCTATGTAGACCCACAACACAAACAACAAGAACATACATATAAATAGGACATGACGAATAAATTAAGGAAGGACAAATAAATAGGAAAAGAAAAAGGAACACTTTATATATTTAATTATATATAAACAGTGGCCTTAAAATTAGGAATAATAAAAATAGATATAAAAATAGGAATATAAATAAAATAAGACTAAAAGAATAAAAGAAAACATACAAAAATAAATAGTGAATAAGAAATAGGATAAAATAGAATAAAAATATTAAGGATAAAGGCAATAAAACCGAAATAAATATATACTCTAAATGGCATACAGCATAGTATACACACAAAAAGGGACATACATTAACAATAGAATAATAAAGTATAACAATGTAATAGAATAAGTAAATATAAGAGTTGCAATAAAATGTAAAGGATAGGGATTTAAGATAATAAATAGATGTAAACGATAGAAGGAAACATAAAGATGTAAACAGAGTGGAAGACATATGTAATAGAATAAGATAGATAAAAACAATGTAAAAATAGAATAAGATACTAACTGAGGCAGTCAATTGTAAAGGAAGAAAAAGGAAAATGTAAATAGAATAAAAAACATAAACCATAGAATAAGAGAAAACAATTATAGAATAAGAAAAATGTAAAATAGACTAAGACAATATTATGAAAATAAAAACTGGAAACCGTGTATGTGTTAAACCCAAATGAATAAAAAGAAGGAAAAATAAAATAAAAATTAGAATAGATAGAGCAGGACCGGCACTCCCAGCCGAAAGTAAGAATGTGGATGAATGACAGAAAGATTAAGTATGCGGAAAGAATGGTGGAAAAATTGATAGAACTGGAATGTAAGAGAAACATAGAGAGTACTCAGGGCCTGCTATAAAGTGGGGACAAATAGGAAGCTCGGCCATAGACTGTAAGGCCGGGCATTAAAAAAAAAAAAAAAAAAACCTAACCTAACCTAACCAACCGTCTTGCGCCGCACCTCGAAGGGTGAACATCGTTTTGTGTGTGCTCCGTGGAAACAAATTCGAAAGAGTGGGTTTTTCGCGTGGACCCCCATTGAATTGCACATCAATAGACTCGTAACCACAAGACCTACACGGGGACGTATCGTTTACGTGATTCCGACAATTTTTTGGAAAAGTTATTCGCAAAAAACTGTTCTTCGTTGTCGCCATCTTGTCGGACGCGGCCTCTTCGAGTTGTGTTAGTTGGTTGGGGCATATAAACTGTGATACCCTATAGTGACTGTGTTATTTAAAGACCTCAACAGTGCATAGGAGTGATCTTCTGTGAAGATGGAGCGATGTAGAACCGGATAGAACCTGAGCTATGACGCCCCTTACGAGTGGGAGCGTCGCCCGGTTAGGATTGTCTGGTTCCCGCTTCATGTAACAACCAACGTGTGCGGTGCGGACGGTTCATCATCAACACCAAGACAGCGATTTGGAGTGAGTGCTGGGACCGATATGGAGGCCCCAATGCAAGAGACGGAGCGACCTTACGGGAGACGACAATCCACGCCACCAAGGTACTCTTTTGGACGACACGTAGGGCTCCGCCCCCGCTCTGAATTCTGGTACTTTTGCTGCTCTCGTGATTCGCGATCCATGGACGCCATTTTGTAGTCCATCCTAACACCCTAACATCGACGACCGAACGAGATTTTACATTATACATCCTAACATCGACGAAATGAACCTAACCTTTTACCATAACACCCTAACTCCGATGCAACGAGCGAAGTTTACTTATCCTAACACCCTAACAGGGACTGCGGTTGGGAGCCGCTCTGTTAGGATCCACGCTAATGATGCAATACATACCCTAACATCTATGTGCAATGTGTTGATAGGATTGCACTACTGAGAACTACGCTAATGACGCAATATACAAGTAAACAGGAAACATCTATTGACTGGAGTTACACAAATTTACTGGACTAACATATTAAGGAGGATAATTACGCACAATAATTCGGAGTGGAATGAGCGACGCTTCGGCCCCAAACCTTTGGACTCTGTGACCGCGACCTAGACCGGGGACTCCTTTCGGACCGTCCTTTGTTGTGTGTGCTACTGCTGCCATACCTCCCACCCTCGCGAGTTGGCCGGGCCCACCGACGCGTGATCTGGCGGCTTCGTGTTGTACGGCGGGACTGCAGAGGCGCGCCGCGTGCCTTTCTGCCGCGAGTACTGCTGCCCTGCCTCCTGTCTCCGCGAGCCTGCTGGCCCCATCGATGTGAGGTATTCCGGCGACCGCGCTGTGGTTCGGCGAGTGAGGCGGAGTCGTGTGCTGCCCCTGGACGTGAAATTGGGACTCCCTGGACCTGGCTACTTCCTTACGACCCCGCGGACAACGAGGTTTGGAGATTAGTTGAACGCGCCTTTTCTTTTGCTCCTTTTATTTTATTTTATATACCAACTAGCGCTTAATAATTATCTTACCTTATCTTACCAACTTATGATAACTGTGTATTGCATTTTACACCCAGTTCGTATATTAATGTCGTAATTTATTACCATCTAGTCTAGACATTAATTCATACATATTATCATGTTATATTGCTGTCGTTGGATTAAATTAGCATTGTTAGCTTACAGACATTGTTAAGATCATGGCAATATTAGCTCTGCGTACCATTCAATCACCGGACTAGCCGAGTGACTGGGCTAGCATTGTTAGCTTTTGAAATAGAAACCAACTTTCGTTCAGTTCGATCAGTGTCAATAGCTCGAGAGCGATCCGAACCTCCCAGAATAGAGTGCTGGCAGTGCGTTCGGACCAATCAGGATGTTTAGTTACGCTCGGACTTGTAAGAGTAGCCATTGTTCGGACCTTTCAAGACCTATACTAACATCCGGACCCGTTACGATACTTAGGCTTGTTCGGAGCTGTTAGGTTCGAGCGCGTTGCTAGAATTGTTAACATCAGCCGGATTAGTTAAGAATGTTCGGAGCATTTAACACCGATAGTATTGCTCCGATGGTTTGTATTGTTTGGAACATTTAGGATAGTTCCATTTGTTCGGATGTTTCGGGTCGCTCTGATTAATATTTTTGCTCGGAGTAGTTAATACTGTTAAGATTACATGGACCAGTTGGAATGGTTCGGATCGGCTAAACTAACAACTATGCACCGATCTGTTAGGATGCTACATTTGTTAATCATGTATATATCAACTGCCACTTATAAGTTGGCGAAATGAAATCAATTAATTTGTTAACAATCTTTATTTTTAATAGACACACATCAATTTTATATTCATTAAATTATAATCAAAAGCAAATGAAACAATCATATCGTGTAATGTAAATAAACAACCTATTTTATGTACATATAGTTCTATTATTATTAAACATATGATTTTATGTAAATAACCATCTTAATGATCGTTTATTGCTGATCCGGGTATGGCGGTGTGCCCGGTCAATAGTTTGTGACGATTTTACTATCTGTCTATCTTAATCCAAGAATTAAAAAAAAAGAATAATATTGTAAAACAATTTAAAAATAATCAAAATATAAAAATATATATTTACAATACTCTCAAAATTAATTGAATCTGCATACAATAACATAATTACAACTTAAAACTAAAATTAAAACAAGCAAAATATTATAAAGAAAAATAATAAATTCAATAAGCACAGTCTGGGCAAAACTGTTGTATACTCAGTAAGTCTATTGTTCATGCGCTTGCGCATTGCCGACCGAAGCGGGAAACCGGTTCTCCAACAAAACGCGGGTGGCACAATTGAGATACGACCGCAGCGACAGGACATATTGTCGTCACTTACATTATTTCTCACTAATTACTGTCTCTTTGATTGTGAATTTTTGATTTAGTCATCTACAAATATAGTTTATGTGTTTATTCCCCATATTGGGGACCTATCTTCTGGCAGGGTAAAGAAAGGTCTGGATTGTGCTACACACGTTATTCGGGAAACCTTTACTTCTGCACCAGTCGTGTCTGTATTACTGGGACCAGTGACCGGAGATCTGCAACGTGCGATATTATCTGGATTGCCAGGACAGTGGTGACCAAGAATCTGCTACGAGACGGTTGCTTAATGTCACGGACCCACACCCTAAATTTTCAATATTTCTTTAAATTTAATTTTTATAAAACTATTTTGGGGACCTACCCTCTTGTACGTAATTAAATAAGTTATCATATCTGATATAGTCTATTTAATTGGCTTAACCGCCACATTGGCGCCCAACGTGGGTAATTACATTGGCGCCTGACTGCAGGTAACATTAGCAACCGAATCGCGTAGTTGATTTCTTTTGCATTTAGTAGTTATCTCTGGTGTTGGCTTTTAGCTTCTAAGTGTGTGTTGTTCTGTCTCTAATTTTAGTTAGTAAGTAATAAAAACTATATTGTTTATTTCACCTTGTTCATTCATATATCATACGCTTTTTTTGTAAACTGTGTGCTATTTCGCTGCTTATTTTTTGGTGACGTTGAAAATTTTTCTTCTTCTTTCAACATTTACCCAAAGTTGTGGTGCTCATAATTATGTCGTATCCAATTAAGTTTCTTTCTTTGCAAAAGGCCGAACTACAATACGAAGTTGAACTTCGGGGTGGCGTAGGTGAATCAGTGCAGGAGCTTCGGAAGGAAATAGTTAAATTAGCTGTGTTATTACCTTCTGAAGATATCTTAGAGTCTCATTTAAACCCAGCCGATGATTTGAAACAAGTTAAGGAATCACTTATAAAATCACTAAGCAACCTAAATATATTAAAAACTAAATTTGACAAAAATATTTTTAATAGAACAGAGAATCTTTTGTACCATGTATACCATAGATTAAATAGAATTGTTGTTACATCAGAGATTAATGATGTATATAAAAGCTGCACTACAAATTTAAATGCTCAACTTACAGAACTAGCTTCTATAAAACCTCAGACCTCTCAACCTAAACCTATTGCCGTACCTGAGCACATCTCCGATTCTGCAATTTCTACAGTAGTAACCTGTGAACGCAATTTGTTTACCGATATCACCAAATTAAAATATTCGGGTTCAACTTGCGTTCATGCCTTTATACAAAAAGTTGAAGAATTCATACAATCTAGAGGTATATCTCACGAAAAACTTTTATCTGTGGCTTTTGAAATTTTTACAGATGACGCGTTACATTGGTATCGTTACAATAAAAATAAAGTTAACACTTGGGAAGAATTATGTATTTTGCTTAAAGAAGATTTTAGTAGCAGTGATTATGACTATCGTTTATCCAATGAAATTCGTTCACGCACTCAGGGTGACCAAGAAAACATAACCATATATTTATCGATTATGCATGGCATGTTTTCAAGATTAGCCAAACCAATATCTGAGGAGGAAAAATTAGACATTATTACACATAATATTCGGCCATGTTATGCAAATACACTAGCAGCTTCTCCTAATATTAAGTCACTTGATGAACTTAAGTCAGTCTGTAGGAACTATGAAAACGTTATATCAAGGTCTCTATATTTCCATGAACCACCTAAGGCTAGCAGTTCTACTGTTGCTCCTGAATTCGCATATAGACATAAATTCACCCTTCATTCAAAAACAAATAATCAA